GTGGTGGGATTCGAACACTCGTCCTCCTCCGGGGTGATAATGGATGACGTTACCACCGGGTCACCACCTCTCCGCCGTGAGACTTAAGTTTGTGCATCGAGGATAAAGGACTACTGGTCGTGGCTAGAGCATTTCGGGTGTTGGATAAAGGATTACAGATCCAGGCTAAAGGGCTGCGGGTTTTGACCAAAGCTTCGTGGTCAAAGGTGAAGCTACATAGTTCATACACTCTAGCATAATTCCAATTCGGTTATCCCGGACCTGCCTGCTCAGTTGTCTCCCGTAGTTCGCTGAGACTGACAGAGATAATTATTCCACAAACACCAGTTCGAGTGTCCCATGCTCAAATTCTATCAATATTCACCCAGTTTCAACAAAACTTAGAATCAAGTAGGAGCTTGTACTAGACCACTACTTGTCTCGTTACATATCTTTATAGAAAACTAATGGGATTATTTTCCTCATTGTAGTCAACTTATCATGAATGCAATGTAGATTTTTAAAGACAATTATTTTGCAAGTTTCACGTTATCTTAACTGAAAGAATAGGAGGAAGGACTTTTTAATTTGATTCCGCCAGTTTTTGTATTGACCCTTGTTTGGAGGGCCCAAATGGGTTCTCATAAACAGGGTGAGCTCTGGGATCATCTGGCTTTATTTCATTTTCCTTCTAACTGTGATCACAAATATGTCTTTTGATCAGTTGGACCAATATCGATTGTGTTACTGTTTACATTTGACTACAAAGTGATGAGCTTGTGTCCCCTTTAGCTGTTGGGGAAAATTCACAAAGTCCATTTGCGCATCAGCTTGTGTGAGTCAATAGTCTTGACTATCTAGGACAAAAATCAATAAACTAGCCTGCGGTTGGTTGGTCCTAGCAGTGATCTGTGCGCGGAAAAATGTCCATCGTTCTCATGATGATTACTCGAGCATGTCAAGACAAGACCAAACTGATTTATGTCGCAATTGACTAAGTAAGCCAGCTACTCAGATCAAATCTCAATCAAAACTTGTTTCTTAAATCATTCGGAGAGCAATGACTTCGATTGGTTTTATTAATGTCACATCGATCATTCTTCCTCAACAGTTTGTGAGAGCAAAACGTCTTTCTGACCACATCTCACGGTGGAACACTGAGTACCCATGCATCCGTTCTGTTAACTCCGTGTTCTATTGTTTAAATATGCAAAAGGAACTAGGATCTGAATTTGGCTTCCATTCAAATCCGGGAAATCGTAATATTTTTATTCGATCCAATGTCAGTTCTATTTCTCGCATTGATAGAATTAACAACTTTTGGAGAAGTCTACTTAAGTCGAAAAATTTTACTTAAACCTTTAAAAAACAAATAAAACAAACAGCCCCATTGCAACTTGAAATAAGGATTCCAAAGGAAGCAACGATCATCGTTTATTCATCTGATCAGTCAAATGATAAGACAAATTTTAAAAAATGCCTTTTCTACTTCCTTTTTCTATTTATTGAATATATAACTGTACAGTCAATTTTTAGAAAGGAGGCTGCGGCCATACAAAGGCTGCCTGGGGAAAATACAGATATAGGGAAGACGGGCGGCGGTGGAGCGGTTTGAACCCGGGACACCCAGGTCACTGGTTAGTAACCTAGCTACTTGGCCACCAACACCCCAATTAAAAGATAAAATTATATTTGTTTCTTTTTTACTGCTTAAGTAAAACAGTTTAAAGTGTTTCATAGTAATGTGTATATGAACGACTGGACAAAATTTCACTGGAAGCACACCACCGAGTTTCGTGCTTCTTTCCGCTCGTCAGGCGTGCGTATCCGGTAATCTTTTGTCAGCTCGTTCATATACCTGTATAGTCAGAAAGTGTATTTTCTTCACAGTGGCCTCATTTTCAACACTGGCTAATTTTAGACAAAAGTCTCTTTCAGCGCCATTCCGAGAAACTGATTGTGTGCTTTTATAGAAATTTTGAAATGTTCTATGAAGACACTCAAGTCAGGTTTGTTGCGGTTAGCAGCACCTAAAGCACCTACAAAACATCCAATTCTTCAGTGGACTGGATCTGGAAGAGCTGTCTATCCAAAATGACTCGGTGTTGCAAATAAAGTTATGATGAAGAAAAATCTAAAGTTTATGCAACATTTTGATCTTGACTACGGTGAACACATGTCCTCGATTGACGGAAGTTTATGCATATGAATCCCACGTCCACTAGTTGTTAACATCGATTCGCCGCTTACTGTCAACATGACACCAACAACCATTTTGTTCAGAATTCCACTCTTTCATGTTTGCTCAAGGCAGTTGCTTACCTGATATTGAACAGATTTCACATTGTGTTACGTAAGCAATAGAGAAAAGCACAAACAAAAAGCCAACATCACGCAACCATGTCTCCTCTCTCCCTCGGTACACAAATATTCAAAAATGAATTTGGCGCCAATCGATCGATGGTATTGAGCACAATTGCCATTCCGAACCCTGTCTTGCAACAATTGTAGTGAATGAAGTGGGCAATATTTGGATAGTCAACACCCCAAACACACACACACGTAGAGGACGTGAAAGCAGTAGTACATTAAACTTGAATATAACCACAAACTACTTTAAAATCATTCAGTAGTGCCCCTTCTGAATAGAAGATTCATTTCAAACTGTATTCAGTTGGCGGGTTATCGAAATTTGGTTGTTGTTCGAATCGAAAATACCGAAATGCGAACGAGATTTTCCATGCGAATCTGACCGATGATATGTGAAGAACATTATTTAAGCATTGTGCGACTAAAAATTGATCGGTTCTGGTATTTCTGATTTCATAAGTTTAGTCTCCACGGGAAAATGTTTTATTACTTCTTGTTATGCATTGGCGAAAATTTATTTCTCAGCTGTGATTGGCATCGTTTCCCCGCTATCCATTCCCTTCCGTTTTTCATTGATACCCGCTGAAAAGTTATCTCGCAATCTTGA